ATTTAGGACCTTTGTCATCTGTGGATCGGTGTGCCAAAAGTTAAGATGAAATCACCACTACTCTTGTTTTTGGCTTTTGAATTGAAAGCGCATCTATACATCAACACTGTGCTGTTTGCAATTGCTTTTTTAAATAATTGAGACTTGAAAAGACCTCATCAAAAGCCAGTTTCTTTAATTGTGGAGAGCGCTTTTATCTAAAAGACTTGCAGTATCTTTTACAATAGAAGCCTCTTAATTTCAGTTTTATTCTTTGTCCAGTGCTACATTCCAAAAGGGAAACACATTGGTTTGGTTATAAACAATAAAGAATGGTGTATGGAAAGTGGTGTGTCCCTATGGACGTTTTCTCACAGGAATGTAATTCTGCACCAAATCTCTTAAGAATTCTGTCACCGCTGCACTTAAGGAGATAACAGCAATAACCATTAAAACTGAAGTATTGCCATCTATTGTTAGGCTGTTGTTCCTGTTTTGACCCGTTATGCTCTTTCAAAACCATAGGTGGTTTCTTTTCCATCAACCTTTATTCTAATCTACTGTCTAAATATTTAAATAGAAAGCATATTGATTAAGAAAACATGGATGTCCCCATGAGTCCCATTCATGATACTTCTCTTATTTATGAAAACATACTTTTCAGCCCAACATTTTCATTTCTCTTCCACCAAGATCTGTTAATCACTTTATTCCCACTCTCCCTCTGATGTAGAAAAGTAAATACATTATCCATGCTTATTACTTGTAAAGAACCCATTAAACTGTTGCCATCTACATCCCTTTTGGCAGGTATTTCAGGTTTTTGCTCCAGTTGTTTGTTACTGTTGACCTTGCTCTTTTTGAAAACATTCTTTAGACAGTCAAACCTCAACTGCATTTCTCAAAGTGGTTTCTCTGTTAATTTTTATAGCTGATCTTAAGTGTGAGACTCCTAACTCTTACTGTTTCTGTTGTTTCTATAGCAACTAGATAGGTGGAGACACAGCAGCGTCGCTTTGCTTCCCATCTGGTGTTTTGTGTTCTCAGCAAAGGGAGAGTTTGAGGAAAATAGAGTATTAATTGGGATGTAATGGGCTCAGAAGTGTAGTCCTTGTTGAGTTACCTCACCCTTTACTAATGAGTGGGTTAATATTTTTAAGCAGTGCTTCTCAAACTTCCTTGAATAAAATTCAGTCCTCTTGGAAAGAGGCTATTTACTCTAAGCATGTGTCAGGTTTCGGTCTCTTAGCTTCTTGGGCCTTCTTGTTTTCTTCCACCTAAAACCCCATTTTCTTCATTGTGTGGACAGCAGTAAGATTTGTTTCAGGAACTAGACTGGTGCTGGATTCCCACTTATTAATCTGATTTTTGCAGCCGTCCAGTACTATATTATGTTAACTGTAATTCTGTAGTAGACTATAAAGTGACTATCTCAGAGTAAAATGTTTTGATGTCCTTAAAATCCTGCATATACCCAGAGATTAGACTAACATGTTCTCCCTTCTCCAAAGAGCAGAAGTTGTTTGCATTCCCTTCAGCAGTCCTCTTACCTCATGATGGAAATGTTCATTACCTACTTTCCTGAGGATCTCTGAAATAACCCAAAGTCTTTCCTTAGTCCATGAACACCTGAAGTGCCTTGGTGCCGCTCATTTAGCCAAGGCCCCGAGGAAGCACCCCTGCTCCACAAGGGTTGGGTTGGTTGCTCTCAGCTTGGCTTGTCCATCGTGATGCGTGATGACTCTGGGGAGGTGAGGAGTTTTACTTCACAGCATTAAAGCCATTACTGTATGAAACAGCCACAGAACATGTAGCCTATGTTTTAAGCTCCTCTGAAACTGTTTATTTTTATTAAATAAAAACTCTTGGGCAAAGGAGCTGGATATCATTTGTCTCATCTCAGAAAGATGGGTCCTATCAGGTTAGTGTTACTCAATGACTGGTTCAGCATACATTTGGTTGGAAATGCTTTCCTAACCAGAACAGCTCTGATTAGCAAAAGGAACTCTGAAAGTTCTTATCTTTTTTAGTAACTGATAACCAAGCAGTAATTTGCTTGTGTGGGAAATAAGAAGCAAGTTCAGGTGTGTTCTCCTTCTGACTTAAGGAACAGGTTTGAATGGAGACATCTCACCTCGCAGGAAGCTGCTGCAATACAAGCTGTTACTGAGCCACAGAGGTCTGCAGATCGGGGGGGGGGATTTCATGCCAACCATGAAACACGCCTGTCGTCTCCACGTTGGTGGTGGTGCCTCAGGAAAAGCACTTGCTCTTTTGGAAATAAGACTTAAGTTTGCAACTGTTTCACTTTTTATTCTTTCTCTGTTTTCCCTCTATCTCCCTGCTGTGACTCTCTCAGATTGAGAGATTCACCAGAGCTAATGGATGTGTAATCTTGTTAAGTTTATAAATCAGTGTGCTTCTCTGCTGGCTGCCTGAGCAGGGTTCTGATCCTCAGTGGATTAAATATTAGTACAGATTTAAATTTTAAATGGAACAACATCTCTTCAAAACATTCTGGCTTAAAAATACAGAAACGGGCAAGTTCATTGCTTCCATAGATTCTAACCTAGTGTATCCCCTGTGCGTATAGGGCCACGAAGTTGCTTAGGGGGTTGGGGTGTCTTTCTTGAGGCTGAAGGAGCTGGGAGTGTTTGCCTCAAGAAGACAAGACTAAGGGGGGATCTTACCAATGAGTATACATACCTGATAAGTGGGAGTAAAGAAAACTGAGCAAGACTCCGCTCAGGGCTGTCCAGTGACAGGACAAGAGGCAATGGGCATAAATTAAATGTACAAAAAAACCTTTTTTTACTGTGAGGGTGGTGAAACCCTGGAAGAGTTTTCACAGAGGGGCTGCGGAGTCTCCATTCCTGAGATGTTTAAAACCCAACTGGACTCAGGCCTGAGCAATCTGCTGTAGTTGACCCTGCTTTGAGCAGAGGGTTGGACTTGATGATCTCCAGAGGTCCCTTTCCTACTTGAATTATTCTATGAATATTGTGGTTTATGTCAGCAGATAAAATTTACTTTTTTCTATGAAGGAATTGCTGGTTGAAGAGTCTTGTAATATTACAGGCAAAATATTAATCTTACGAGAGGTTTTGTTTTGAGAATCCTGTTGTCTGCACTTAGATTTTAAATTTTATCTTAGTACACCTCCTGATGTTACCTACAGTTTATCTCTGACAATATAATTCTTCTATAGAAAAACTAACCTAGAAATCAGTGCAGTAACTACATTTTTATCAGCTCTGTTCACATGACAAATGCATTTTATAGTGCCTAAAATCCAATACTGAATGTAAAGGTCTATTGAAGTGGTTTTGATTCATACTCAACTCTCAATCAAGGTTGCTAGGCAGGATTTTAGGGAAGAATTTTGACAAGGAAACTGGGATTTTGCTGTCTTGGTTGGGACAATTTTAGCTATGTGATTTCTAACAGAGGGAAAGTGTAGTGTGAACCTGCATGTTTCCCTTGTTGCCTGGCTTCTAAATATGCAGAATGGGATAGTTCTGTTCTCAAAAATATTCAATTCAGGGTAATACATAAATGTAAAACCAGCGTTTGACCACTTGCCTCGAAGTGTTGATTTCTTTATCATTAAACATTAGCTAACAGCAAGCATCACATTCATCTTTCCTAGATTTGCTGGTAAGCATTTACTCAAGATCAATTAAAATAGCTATTGCATTCTCCAAGAAGGGAGTGCATATTCTCTCTTGAAGGGTTCCAGAAATATATTGGGGAATGAGAAGTCAGGGATGGTGTTAAGAATTATCCCGAGATTAAAAAAGGAGTAAAAGAGGCAATGGCATCTGGAGCAGGGTTGGAAAGGGAGGCTGTGGCTGGAGCCAAGGAAGAGGGAATGTCTAGCACTGGGGGTGAGGTGGGAAGGGAGAATGGCTTCCTGGGGGGAAGGAGAAGGAATAGGCTGGTTGGTTGGGGTTTTTTTCAAAAAAAGCTAAGGATTTGCAATTTTGAGCCAAATTAGTAACCCTAGTTTGAGTGTCTTGTTTCAGGTAAATAGTGGCAAGTGTTAGGAACTGAGAAATTAAATGAGATTCTGATGTTGGCTTTCTGGACATCACTTTCAGATTCTTGAACATATCCTGCTCGAGCAGACCTCTTCAGGCATTAGTGATTTTAAATGTAATTAATGTTTGGATGAACCTTCCAAAAATTCTGCTTTCAAATTGTTATGCATCTCTTCATTCAAATGACTTAATGTTTTCAATCTTGTTTACTTCTTCACAGCTGTTAACACAATGGGGGGAAAAGCTTCCAAGGAATGACTATTGATGTCTGAGGGAACTAAGATCTTAATTGCAGAACAATTGCCATGATGTCATGTGCAGATTTTATGTGGTGTTCACAAGCGGCTGGTTACAAACAACTGCAGATTGCATAAAATGCCTATAAAGATTTTGTTCTGCTTGTAAAGCTGCTGTCTACACTGTCAAATCCTTATGGATGTAGCTGTCTGTGTGTATTCCTGTTTTAAATGAATTCTCATAGCATGAAATCAACTTACTTTGTGGAAAAAAAATGCTTTTGCCAATGTGATTTTTATCATTCCGATACTAAAAAACAATCACAGCTCTAAAAATGTAGTTATATGTGATGATAACAAAAGCAAATCTGTGCATTTGCATACCAAGATTTGGCATAATTTTCAGTAAGTTACACTAGCAAAGGTAGTTAGCCTGGTATAAAATTTTCTTGTAGAAGAAAAACTCACCAATGAACGTGATCATTCTGGTAAAAGTGGAAATGCAAATTTAATTAAAGATTGTATTTCTTATTGTGAAATGTCAAAGTACTGTTTTTCTAATTGCGAAACTGGTTACTAGGGGTAAAAACAAAATGTCAGCAAAACGTAAAGGTATGGTAATTTTAGACTTGTAAGGGTATTTATAGAAATGTTTTCATTGTAAAATAAATGTACGTGGTTTTATTATTCTTGAAGATAGTCATAAAAGTCTGGTCAAGTAAATATTCTGCTTCTTGTTTTCCAGAAACCAGCAAACATTCTGGTAATGGGTGAAGGTCCTGAAAGAGGAAGAGTCAAAATAGGTAAACATTTTGAGAAAATTTCATTGTACAACTAAGGAATGACTTAAAAAATTGCATCTTCAGTGTAAGATAGAAGCAAATCTTCATTACTCTTTGAGTGTATGTATGCACAACATCTAGTTCAATTTTAAATCTCATTCACTGGGTTTATAAGCTTAGAGATTCCATACATATTATTAGACATTTATAAAGCTTGCCAAGGACATCTGGCAAGATAAAAGCATCTGTAAGAAACAAGAAAGTAATAAGCACAGAGAACAATGGCTATGGCCAGGGTTCTTTTGACTTCTACTATGCTTAGTATAACATTGTTACTTCTAAATTGTATTTGTTCTTAATTATTTTTATATAAATAACATCAATGCACGTGTTTGTAGAGCTCCAAAGGCTTGCTATGCAAAAGGTTATTCGGCATCAAGGTGGGAAACACATGTAACTGTGGTGATCTTTATCCAAATTCTAATTATTTGTGCAGATCATAAACCTCAGTTGTGTGGATAGAAACTTTTTTTAATAAAGCATGTGGCAATCATCAAGAAGTAGTAATATACTAGAACCTCTTTTCTATTAATCAACTTTTGTTGTATTTGAAAATGTTCAGCTAACCATTTTTGATTCATATGCTTGTATTAGTATGGGTAAGTGCAAGAAAATTATACTTGGAATTTTATAACTTTGGAAGCAGAAAGATTTAGGTGTAGTTCTGTAAAAGGTAAGCTTCAGACCTGGATTAAAATGTGTGGTTTTGAATACATACCCAAATTTTGTACTTTCCCATCTAGTATTTCTTAATGTTACTTACAAGTTTGTTTCTAGAGAGAATTTTTGAGTTATGTAAAATGAATGCTTACATTTAAAATACACCTGTGTAACAGTGTACACTCACTGATTTCATGAATTCACAGTTAAAATGTTTTCCTGATTCTGGAGTTTGTTCTTCCAAATAAAGTAGGAGGCATACTTTGAAAAATAGTGCAAAACAATCTGCACTGCAGTCATTTTGGTTTTGCACTTTGAGTAAATATATAGCAGCCACAAGGGCTCACCATCTTGTAAACGTATATAAAAATAAAAGAGAAAACGTGCATTAGAGACCTACTACTGTTGACTTTAATCAGGTTACAGTTCTATTTAAATAAACAGGCATCTGTGTTATGTGAAGTTTTACAGTACCATGAAGAAAACACTTTAAGTCAAACATTGTCTTTCATAGTCTTATTAAGTAAATGGAATTTAGCCTTAGATAAATTTGGCCCAGTATTGTTATGAGCAACTTGTTGCTTTCTTAGAAACTTTGATTTGTAAGTTTTAAGATTTTTGAGCTTTTGTTATAACTGCTTTTTGGCAATACTGTTAAATTCTGGTTTTTGTATTAAAATTTTAAATGTTCTTATGTTTGTTTTTTTTTTTTAATTCCACTACCCCCACAGCTGATATGGGTTTTGCAAGATTGTTCAACTCACCTTTGAAGCCATTGGCAGACTTGGATCCAGTTGTGGTGACATTCTGGTACAGAGCTCCAGAGCTGTTACTTGGAGCCAGGCATTATACAAAGGCCATTGGTGAGTTCTGTGTTAAGAACGAGATTTGCCTTTCAGTTTTGTAAAGGAGAGCAGCCTTACAGTAGATACGATGATCAACTGACCAGCTAGTTCTTTTCCTCAAGTAGCAGCAGATGGAGTATGATCCAATCCATAAAAAATTTAGTCCAGATTGAAACTTTGAGGACTGTGCTTTTATTTTTTCAGTAGGAGTTAAGGTTAATGTTAGACATTTTAAATATGTCATTTGGTTTTAAAATAAAAATATTCTTTGCATTGGTTTATTTTTTTTTCTATGGGCTCCGAAATTGCGTGAGCTATGGCGGTTAAAGTGGCATTCTTCTAGGGTGATTCATATCCAGATGCTTCCATGAAGTGTGTGGTTTGATAAGGAGAAGGGTGGTCTCCGGCGCCATGCGCAATCTGCAGCTCATTCACTCCCGACTACTTATGAAGCTCCATGTTCAGGAAATGTTGGTGGCCAGGCTCTTGTCTTCCTTCGTTTCCCCTTAGTAAGTTCCATAAGCACAATCAGGCTTGGTGCCTAGCTGTTTAGAGAATAAAAACACTGAGATACACAGGAGGTAGCCTGTATGCGAGATTAGGTTATATATTGATGAGCACTGCAATGGAAACAGTGTCCCTCTGTTAATGGGGTTAAATCATTCCTGTGTGTAGAGAGGTTGCTTTCTTGGGAGTTTCAGGCATTTTCCTGTTAGAGATCTTTTCGGAGATGCTCTGTGGGCCTTTTTCAGAGAGTTACAAGACACCGTGTTATACTAGCATCTCTGTTGAATGTTCGGTTCGGTGGACCAACACTTTAAGTCTCACAGTGGCTTTTTCAAATAACTCCTGTTTATCAACAATCATATACAGCAAAAGGTTCAACAAATGAATGAACTGTCACCTGACTTTGATGTGGACTTGCATTTCACATTTCTTCATTGCTCTTCTCTCCCATTTGGAATCCTCCAGTGCAGGAGCACCTGAGGTGGGCAAAACGCTGCTTTGTTGATCTTGACTTGAATGTGGAGGAGCTGTTAGGAAGGGCAGAAAGATTTCTGCATAGCTCTAGTGAGAATGCATACATTCAGCCTTGCGGGCAGGTAACATGCATTTCTCTCCTTGGACAAAGTTCGTCAGCATCAAAAAGTGAAAAAGTTGGGATTTATGTGTTCCTTTTCATCTGCTGAAATGGAAAACCGCTACTCTTCATATGACTATGTCCACTTTAGCAAGTAGTGTGGCACTATAGAGTGCATCCCTAAAACAAAAGGGTACTGAGCATCTGGCATCCACACTATAGGTGTTTTGGAGAAAGGGGAGTACTTCAGGCTTCCTCTGGCCTCGTCCAGTGGACTACTGCTCATTAGTGGCTGATGCACGTTTTTTGGTTTAGTTTCATCCCAAAGGAATTTATTTTGTGTGCTCTGATAGAACACTGCAGTGCAAGCTGAACTGGTGTATGTGTGGACAATCTGATCCATTTCAAAAGCAAACTCCTGGTCCAAAGTAAAATACTAATTGCAGATAGATTCAGTCAGGTTGAAAGGGACCTTAGGAGGTCTCTTGTCCATCCTCTGTTCAAAGCAGGGTCCATTCTGAATTTAGACCGGGCTGCTGAGGGATTTGTCCAGCCACGTGTTGAAAACCACTTAGAACAAAGATTCCACACCCTCCCTGAATGACCTGTTCCAGCGCTAAATCATGCTCGTAGTGAAGAATTTTTTCCTTATACCTAGCCAGAACTTCTTGTTTCAGTTTATACCTGTAATCTGTCATTCTCCTGTCATATATCACTGTAAAGAGCCTGGCTCCACTGTCTCAATCACCTGTCTGTAGGTACTGGGGAGGCTGGTCCTAGGTTTCTCTTCAATTTTAATGAGCCTGTGCCCCTCAGCCTCCTCTCCAAGAGCAGGTTCTCCAGCCTCTGACCATCTGGGTGGCTGTCCACTGAACTTGCCTCCAGGTTATCAAAGTCTGTCTTGTATTCAGGTCCCCAGAGTGCCCCAAATGTGGTCCTACAAGTGCTAAGTAAAGGGGAGTAATCACTTCTCTCAATCTACTGGCTGTGCTCCTGTAGATATGGCCAATACATCCTATTGATGCTGTTAGTCTTCATCACTACCTTGGTACACTGCTGGCTCATGTTTTGCCTGATGTCCACTGGAACCCCCACATACTTTTCTGGTTCTCCTGGTTCTCCAGCCAGTCAGTCCCCCACCTGAACCATTGCAGGGGGTTAGTCCATCATGGGTGCTGGACTTTGTCTTTGTCCTCATTGCATGTAATGAGTTTCCTGTGGCCCGTTTCTCCTGCCTGTCTAGTTCCCTCTGAATGGCAGCTCTACCCTCAAGCGTATCAACCGTTTCTCCAGTTTTCTGTCATCCATAACCTGATGGGGGGTGTTCCAGCTCTTCCTCCTTGGCATTAGTAAAGATACTAAGTTGGACATGTGTCATAGGCTTCAGTGGTACTTCACTTGTAATCAGCCTCCAGGTTAGAGTATAAACCGTTAACCACCATCCTTAGACCCTGATGATCCAGCCAGTTTTTCCTGAAGCCCAGGGCCTGTGTGTTCTGCTACTTGCCTTCACTACTCCACTGTTTCATGGTTGTTACAGCCAAGGGTGCCACTTGATTATCATAGCCCCAGCCAGTTCTTCCTGAGTAGCAGATCTGAAAGATAACACATGTAGTATCCGCATGAAGAAACTTACCCCAACGTCTTCCAGTAACTTTTGCAAGGTCTCTGGGGTGACCGTTTGTATCCTGTTTATTCTCTGTGGTGCTACAGAGTTTGTTCACCTCCTCCCACAGCTCCTTTTGCTGGTGACTCAGTGCCCCCACCAGGGTGTATCTCCCACTGTGCGGACAGCGTCACCCTGCAGCCTGAGTCCTGGGTGACAGCACCCTCCCTCTGGAGCTCTGTCTCGGTTGAAGCCTCTCGTTCCTCAGGCTGTCTTCTCCAGTGGGTGCTGGGGATGGACCCTTGAAGTGCCTCTCCCAAGGCTGTGGCACAATCCCATGGTGTCTGAAGCAGACTCTTAGGGCCTGCTTTGCGTCTGCCACCATGCAATCTGGGATGCTAACTTCTAAAGTCTCTTGTTTGCTGTACCCTGTAGTGGGTGAAAACGGTTACTAGAAGTATTTAAAGAAAATACCACAAGATTACCTTAAATGCCTGTAAATTAGATGCTTAAACTGCCCTGACTATGTTGATGTTGTGAAACATGGGTGTGAGTGGACCAGATTACTGAGTGACCTGCATGCGTGGGACTGGGAAGTTACCTGAACTGACAGTTAGCTGTTCTTGATAGATAGCATATTGTTTGCAGATTTAGCTGAGTGATATGTACCATTATCTCAGGATATCTCTTTGAAGCATGAATTAGTATAATGCTGTTGGTTTTTTAATTATGTCATAAATTAGTTGGTTCTTGCCCTGAGGGATCTGTAGTCTGTACTAAAACACAGACAAGGAGTCCCTGTGAAACTCTAGAGGATGATCCTGCTTCAGAGAGATCTGGTTTTGCTAGTAGTTTATTATTTCTGTGGCTTTTGTTTCTTGTGTCAGACCCACACCAGTGAATCCCCAGGAAGGGTGTGAACGGGTCATGTAGTGCCTGGTGTGCAGTGGGAATGCTGAGGGCACTCAAAACGGTTTGAGCAGCAAAGAAAAAAAATATGGAAGTGAAAACAAGGGAAGTTGCAAGGTGAGATTCGTAGGCTGACTGAGGGATTAGAGGAGGATGTGACCGAAGAGAAAAGACTAAAGGTACCTGGAGGTGATGTACGTGCAGCTTTAAGGCAAAGGGGAGAAGTAGGTAGCAAAATGACAGTGGTGGTGATCATGCAGTTTGAGTCCAAGCTTGTGTTTTCCTTCTAGCATTATGTGCACTTTATAAAAAGGCAATCCTAATGAGCTAAGCATGCTAGTGAGATTTTAACTTGAATGCTAATGTTCTTGACAAAGGACGGAAATCTTGAAGCTCTCTCTTAAATCTCTGTGCAAGAAATATAATTTCGACTGTCTTAATATGACATAATTCTTGGGAGACCTAATGTATTGCTTTTAGTAATAACTCATAAATTCTATAAGATTCTCATTTAACTGCTCTTCAGTTTGAAATAATAACTTAGAAGAAAGTTGATTAGACATAGCAATTCATGAAAAAGGAAATGACAGGCTATTTAGTATAGCTGCTTATTTTCCATAGCTATTTTGTCATGCCTTTTATATAAAATACAACTTTGTATAATTAGTAAATATCAATAAAATCGGGCTAAAAGCGATGTCCTGCCAGCTTTAGTCTATTCTCTTCCAATTCTGTCATTGTGAGAAATATTTTTGTTTGAATTTACTAGGAATGCATTGTCATCATTCTCTACGGCAACACACTGCATGTTGTCCAACAGTTGCTACATAATTCAGTTTGCTTAGATTTTTACTGGCTTAGTCTTGATTTTATTGCATTTTAAATATATTTTCTGTATTCTGTATCTAACACTCTCTACCTTAGCTTCACATATCATGTTAATTATTAGCAGTGTATTCATAATATCCTGGGCGCAGTCTGCTGTAGTGTCCAATTTGGTTTTGTTCTTTTAATAATGCCTTTAGGTATGCTTGCTTGCATATAAGTAATTCTCATACATGAACAAAGAATGAAATAGAATTTGACTTTTGTCTCACTCGGGACTTTTGTCTTTGTTTTCTGGACCTGATCTTAAGTTACATTTTGCGGGTTTAACTTTGGGTAAAAAATTGGACTAAATACAGTCTGTTTAGAAAGAACTATGCATTACACAAACCACTATATAAGTAATTTCTTTACTTTAGAGGTAGTTTTACAGTGCCATTTTCCCCTTTATTTAATTTGTTCCTCCATAGTAATTAAATAGTCTACTTTTCATTTATTTGCTTGCAGAACAAGTAGTTGTTCGTCATGTAGAGTACATCATATTTTAAGGAGACACAGGAGTCAGGAAAATACTGTTGCTGGAAAACAGAAATAGCT